CTTTTCGTTTCTTGAAATGGTACGTCGGTCTCATGTCTTGCATTATCAGGCAGGCGATTCAGATCTGACTCCGCAAAGCTGCCCGACCGATCCCGTGCACTGTCCCGAAAGACCAGTCCAGATGTCGCCATTGCCAAAGGCATGCAGCGGTCCGTAGCCCAGACCAGCCTACTATATTTAAATGAGGAACGAAGTAGTTCCCGGGCCTAGGAATGTATCCTCGCTCCCTCTGCCGGGTTCGAAGCTTGCAACATGCAACAAAAATGACTTGCTCATCATAGTACCTCGTATGTCTTAATGCCTTTAGTCTAAAGGCCAAGCTGATTTGTTTATGTGGCTGTAAAATAGATTTGTAGATTTTTAAACCAGTCTTCATTTATGTATTTCTGGTTGTCTGCTTGCGTATTTCGTATCTTCTTCCTGTGCCTATTTTATCAATTTCTTGTTGTTCATGTCACCGTTTTCTTTCTAAGAATCTACGACTACGGTCGCCAGTGCATAGCCTAATTATGAAATATTCGAAATTTACTTAATTAGGTCCACTTCCGTCCTCCTCAATTACGGTAGCTTACAGATACATTTCTGAACATCGTGTTTTCAAATAAGCCAGCTAATAATTTGAAATTTACTTTTAAAACGATAGACCACGTTTCATACCCGTAAAATATCTCGCCCGGATTTTCCTTCAAAATTAGCTGTAATGAAATTGTTTGTTTCTTAAATGACGTCGTTTTTCACTGTGCAGGTTCCTTTTGTCGCCTACATACCAAACCAGAGACGCAGAAACGTCGAAACTTGGTCGATATTCTTTTATTTTTGTTTTTAATGTCTTTAAATGTAGTCGTGATAATCCCCCCCCAAGTGAATGATGAAAAGCATTAGGACGACTTTTTATCCGGATTTCTACATCTCTAACCAAACTGATTTCTCTGTGTTTGCAGGGCATCTTACGTGTCATTCGGTGGTCTTCTGATGCGACTGCAAGGCGATGCCAACAACTTGCATGGATTTGAAGTGGATCAACATATATATCTGCTCATGAAGAAACTCGCCTTCTGATCCGAGTTTTTATCAAAACTAAATTATATATTTGTAAGAACAATTTTGTAATAAAATATTATATTAACGTGTGAGGCACTTCTTAATAAAGTTATGTCTGTGATAAAATTTCCACAAAACAAAATAATACTGCAATGATTTCTTCACAATTTTACTTTGCGCCGATATTCTTGTCTAAAGTTCCTATCTAACTGTTCGTTCCCAGGTTTTCCTGCCTATTCCCTGCCCATCATTGTGCCTGCAGCGGATCATGACTGATAATTCACTACGTAAGCATACATCACGTAAGGCAGTTCTTGGTCTTCCTATCTTCCGAATGAATCTGTTGTGGTAAGTATGCGTGTCGCTTTCACTGCTGTTGAGGAATATATCGGAACAGCTGTTGCTATTGGACAACTGTGAACTCTCGAGAAATACATACACTATTACAACGATAATTATCGAATCCTAGTGTTTCAATTATCGAACCTTTCGCTGTGAATTAATTTCACATGGCGTAAGATAGGGTCTGTTAATCTGAAAACGGATTAAAGCTACTTCCGACTTACCAATAATATAAATTACTTATTAGCTAGAAAAAAAGATAACCTCAAAATAAAGTTTCTTACGTAAAAGTAGCATTTATAGTGTTAATATTACAGCTTATGGAACATTCCTAAGGAAATTAAGTATTTCAGAAGGCTGTGAATTTGTTACATGTGGACAGACACAAACTGAGATGTGCGAAGTTGATAGGCTCATGTCTGCGTACACGCCAGAGTAGTTCGTAAATAGCCTACATCTTAAGCGGACTTGCAAAGTATGTGGGTGTTGAAGTAAACAAGTTAGTTTCAACAGCCTTCTTAAATTTCTCCAAAGAATAACAATGGTGAACTCTGAAGACTGTACATTTTTCTCCCGGGTGTTTTCCTAAGGTAAACTGGAGGAGATGACATGACGTCAACGTCTTTGTTACGACAACTTGCGAATGTCTGTAACCTGTTGACCAACAGAAAGGTAAGATTTGAAGTTTTCACGGCGCTGAGTACGAAGAAGGCTGTCATGGGGCTTAGCGCCGTATAGTCAGAGGTTCTTCCTACCTCCGTCATCAGGACGATTAGGATTTAATCATAATTAATGTATCCGTTCATTAGTTTTCATATGTGCAAACTGAACCTTGAACCTGAAAATTCGAAGCAGTAGTGCCAACTCAGCGGCGACGTTAAGTTACTTCGTGGAGTTATTTGAAACGAAATAAGTAAACGCAGACCAGAATTCAGGGCAAAAGTTGATGTAAAGATAACACGATCATTCGAAAATGTGTTAAGATTTAAAATATTAGGCGACGACAATAGTAAAATTACATTAGGGATGAAATTAAGACGGGGAACATTCAGCGAATGTTTGCTACTTTTCGATTGAGAGTATTTTCTGTTCCTACGATTAAAATGCACAAAACTTTATAGCCTAAATTTTACCTTGTAAGTTAGGCCTCTCGTCCTAAGGAAATTGCGTACATTGAGAGTGTCTGATAACACGATTCTGAGAATATATTTAAAGCTAGGAAGTAGCTGGAAGCCAGACAAACTTACGTAATGAGGAGCTACATAATTTATACTCTGCAAAATACGATTAGTATGATTAAATGGAAAGGCCATGTGTCGAGGTCATTGTCACGCGTGTAGTATTACACATGATAAGTTTAATACTAAAATGGAGCTTAAGGAACCGGATGAGGCTGTGAATTGGATTCAGCTGGTTCACGATAAGGTCCAGCAGTGAATTCTAATAAACCTTCGAATTTCATTTTTGGTAGGTAAGTTTTTACCGTCTGGGTTACTATTGGCTTTTCATAAAGGAATATGCACAATTACATTATTTTTAAATGTTACCTAGGATTTGAGTGGAACGTCGCTTGAGAAACTAAACTGTAAAGAGCTGTAGATTAAACCACCGTATGTCCCAGCAGTCTGTAATTGTAAGGTTTCTCTCGAAAGCTCGTAATTGTCAATTGCGGCCAGCAGTATAAGAATTTGCGAAGCCGTACAATACCACGGGCGTTATTCAATTGTCTCTGTGCAACTGTAGTGTAGTAAGAAATATGCCATGTTACTCGATGAACCTGAATTATACAACTTTTGAAATATGAAATTTGAGGTTATCATGGCAACTAGTATGAAGATTGTTGTCTTTTCGGATGTTGATCCGTTGTAGTCTGGTAGACAGATATTTATTGACGTTTCAAAAGAGCTTATTCTCTCCATCATCAGGGTGATGGTAACAGAGGCAGTTAACTCCTCTGAAAATTCTAGCAGACTACACGGCGCAACATCCCAGAAGACATACGTCTTCATCTCTTAAAACGCTGTTATATTTTCATCTCGCAGGACATCATATATAGAATAGTAGAGATCCCAGCTCACGAAATCAAGCAACCGCCACAATGATGTTTAGAATCGTTGAGAATTATTTTGTGTAAGTTTGGAGTAGTCACCTATAGCGTAAGCTTCGTTTAAAAATTCATGGAAATCGGTACAGAAAAAATGTCATTAATGCTTCCGGGTTGACCTGGGGGGGGTGGGGGGGGGGGGGGGGATTTCGGTGATTCTTCTACAAATCTTCGGGGTAGGTCACTCAGCATATTGACTGGCTACGGACTGGACGATTGGGTTTCGATCCCCGACGGGGGAGAGAGGCTCTGGGGCCCACCCAGCCTCCTATCCAATGGGTATCTGGTCCTTTCCCGGGGGTAAAGAGCGGCCGAGGCGTGACGCTAACCTCTCACGCCCATATAGTGCTGATGTTAAGAATGTTGGAGCTGTTTCCAATTCTGATCTATTTGACAGGTCCTGCTCCAGAATTATGTTTTTGAATTTAAATGTAGTTATAACGGTGGAACATTTGTCGTGTAAGGAGTGGGGAAATTTTCAGCCTGAAAGGCCAACATGGTGGTAGGTGCCTTCTATCCCCCCCGCGAAACCCCATTACTTTTAAAGCAACAGCAAAGAAAGAAAGTATTACGTGAATTGTTTATACGAAGTATGTTGTAATGGCAGCAAGTGAACTACCGCCTTATCCTCTAATGCGGCATATGATTCTGCGGGGATTTAAGGTGCCTGTTGTTTTTAATAGGTTCATTGAGGATTGGGAAATACTGTCATGGAGTTTGGATACGTGGGCAGAAAAATTGGATGAACAGGTTCTTACATTTCGATCAGGTGTTCGAAAAAGCACGAAAGTAAGTTAAGGTAGCAATATATTGTTGTTAAATGTTATTACAAACAGAATAGACTGTGTTTTAGTGTTTTTTCACAAGCTTACATAAAACGTCTTGTCGATTTTAAGGTTATGTTAAAACGTTTAGGATTTGTGTTCGTTGTAAGGTGCTGATGTGCTAAGCATTGAGTCATATGTTCAGAATTAAAAATTTGAGCTGCTGTCTGTGAATAAACGTTCAGTATTATCTAGTCAGCACTCAATATTTTCTCAAAAATTTATCTTTCCATTTGATACTGTATAACCTATAAATTTTAAGGAGTGTTGTTAAATAACCAAAGGTCTCTGGATCACATTCGTTAGGGTCGTTTGTAAAATCCATACTGTCATGTTAGTATTTTTAATATCCAGGGACCCTAAACTTTGTGCAGCAATTTTAAAATGTTTAATTGTGAATCCTGTAAAATTTGGCAAATGATTTATTGTACAACATATTGACACAAAATAACTTTCCCCTTGCAGCTCCTTTTATACAAAGTGTCCTCATTACATTATTATTTTGTGCTTATCTTTATCCCCCTCCCAAGTTTATTCATGATTAAAATTATTTTCTTCATAACACACTTGCACTTGTTGCAAATGAAAAGAATCTTCATGAAAATTCCAAATACCTGAGCCACTGGTAGTTTCATATATTTGCTACTTCCTAGTACTTTCTTTTCAGGTTAGTACTTGGAATTTATGTTGTTTCTTTAGTGTGAGGTCCAGTGTCTCACACTCATACAAATCAGTGGTAAAAGGATATATATATATATATACACACACACACACACAAACCTTTAATATTTGGGGAAGCATTGTATACTCTTTTTTTGTAGGTTCCGCAATGGGAAGGATTGTGTAAAAAAATAAATTTAACTATGAAGGAATTTGTTGAGTTGGAAAAAAGTGATTCAAAGAAAGAAGAAAATGTATGTGGTGAAGAATGCAGTAGATGGATGTACTTTGATTACAAGTACATGAATGAATGGTTTTCTGACCATCAGAGCCTTCTAAATGTAAGTTAAATTAAATTATCTGGTGTTCATATAAATTCTTTCTATCTAACTCTGAAAGAATCTGGAGGTATAAATATTATTAATACAAAATCCTATCATTATACCTGATATTTAGTTGGCTCATTCCATTACATATTATGTAATCTACTGCCACATGATCTTGGTTAAATCCTAACTGTATGATTAATGTTTTTCAAAGTTTTCTGTAGCCGCTCCAGCCAAAGGCTACAATAGTACTATGAAAGAGTCGACAGTTGCGTTCCTTCCACATTGTTGCCAAATAAGCCATGATCATCATGCCATTTTTCATTGACACTATATAACCAAAGCAGTTGAAATAGCATTATTATCTAAACACAGACGAAGTAGAATGTATTTAATATTTACTAAACTTGGTAATCTGTTAAAAGGAATGAATGAATTTATTCAATAACAGGCTGTGTCATGGAAAAACTTTGGTTTCCCAGAGAGAGAAGGTTCAGTTTCAACAATATGGATTGGAAATGATGGAGCACACACTCCATGTCACTTGGACACGTACGGCTGTAACTTAGTGGCACAGGTGTATGGTAGGTACGTTACTGCTGGTCATGTGGGTTTGTGCTTGTGTTGTAGTATTAAGTGCCAGTGTGGATGCACTATGTAAAGCCTGCGCAAAGCTCGGAATCACTGTATAACAACAGTATGATCTATGAGATGGGTAAAACAATAAAAAACTACTTACTCATTCATATAATACACACAACCTAAACTAAAGTAATGATGTATTTGAATGTATAAAAATGCTGAAAAATTTAATTATTCTCTTAATATCAGGAAACAATGGATTTTATTCCCACCTGAGAGAACCTCATCATTGCTGCCAACTCGAACTCCATATGAAGAATCAAGTATATATAGCAACTTAAATTTCTACAGTCCAGACCCAAACATGGCAGATGGTAAGTATTGAAGATGGCGACATTTTTAGATATTTTGCCATTTAGTCTTGTAGAAGTTGACTGATGTTTCATAGATGCTTACTGCCTCCATCATCAGGGCAAAGATTTGTCACCCTGATGACGAAAGCAGTAACAGATCTGAAACATCAGTAATCTTCATAGAGGATACATTAATAATAAGGTGAAAGATTAAAAGTATTCAGAAGTTAATTTATCTGTACAAGGTGAAATAGTGAAGAGACCACTATAAATATAAATGCTGAAACAGGTATGTAGGTATAATCATGTAAAGAAAATGGTGATACTGTGTGTTAGATTATTTAATGATGCCTTTTCAACCGCATGGTTGTGTGGTTCCGAATGGGAGGATGATTATTGGAAAGATATGGAATGAAGAATTTGAGACCTGTTTTCAGACGCTGTTGTAGACTTTGCCTGGAGGGATTTATTAGGTATTTTTCTGTATCTTCAGAACTGCAAGAAGCTTGTGTGGTGACTCTGAAACCTGGAGATGTGCTGTTTGTGCCTCATCACTGGTGGCATTATGTTGAAAATGTTGGAACAGCAGTGAGCGTCAATTCCTGGATCCCACTCGTAAGCATAGTTCACGTGAAAAACCAACTCCACAGTGCAAAGTCTTCCTTGGAAAGATGTTATTTTCTTAGTTGGTCAAGAAATCCCCTGCATTTATGGAACTTGAAGGTTCATCACCAGTTCACAAAAGTTTGACATATATCCTACCCCTAGCCAGTTGCATCAACTTCAAGTCCTTATGCCCTGTTTCGTTTAGATTCATTTTGGTATTTTTCTTCTATCTACATGTAGTTTTCTTAAATGGTCTGTTCACTTCCTGAGTTTCTGGCAAAATTGTGAGTATTGGTCATCTCTGCAATATTTGTCATGTGTCAATGGTGAATATAAATAATGTGTTATTAGAAAGTCAACTGATTTATGTAGAGAAAATTACATAAAGTTTTAAATGGTCCAAGGTCTGTTTTTATAACTCTGATACTCATTTCAGAAGGGTGTATCTGAAATTTGTTTAATTTAATAATGGTTAAATGCTCTTAAATTGCGGCGGCGGGGGGGGGGGTGGGGGGGGGGGGGGGGATATATATGAAAAACAAAGTTTTAATGCATTAAACTAACATTATAAAGTGATATTTCTCTGTCTCGTTTATATATTATCAGCATTGAAGAATTGGACAACTTTTATTAACCTTGGTATTAGGCACATTGAATTAAAGGATATTTGTTATTTTTTCAGCCATCAGATGATGAAAGTAGACTTGAAGAGGCCCTTGTCAGATTCTTTGTATCACAAGTCTGTAAGGATCTGCCGGAGCATAAACTGCATCAGCTGCTCAACCCAAATGAAGTAAGATGTGTTTTGAATGTACTACGAGTAAAATTGCAGAAAGGAGTCTTTTAATTTACTTGATTACTGTCTGACCGTATGTAATTCTACCGTGCTACACAGTTTTGCTCGTGATTTTATATCTAGTAAAAATGTTGCGTGCAAACATTTTTATATAAAATAATTTAGCAGGTAAGATTATGGGTAATAATATGTATGTTAAATGGGAATTAGTAAATACTAAACAAGTAGGAGTAACATTTATATTTTGGTGGTAAGATAAAAGGTAAAGTGGATGTTTTGTGACATTAAGACGTTGTGTATTATTGTAATATGTTAAATCTTACAGGCAGATTTGGTAGATCATCCACTTTCCATCACAGCACAACAAATTGAAATATGTGTAGATGAGTGTCAGCAGAATAGAACTTCTGTCAGGGAAATGGATCCAGGTGTTGGTGATCAAGATGATGATACAAATGTAAAGAAGAGGCCTAGGTTAGCCGGACAATCTGATGTGTATGATTGTGGACAAACATTGGCATCAAGTAACTTGACTCAAGAAGAGGTTCTTAACAAGTTCAAGGATGTCATAAGTGTTGTACCAAAGTATTCTGCATCAGAGTTCAGAAGTTTACTTATTGAAAAACAGAAATCATTTTCTGCACAGGCTGTAGAGGACGTGTTATCAGAAGGTGCAACTGATGTGGACAGTAACAGACTGCAGCATATAATAAATGCCTTTTGTCACCCTGAAGTAATTTCAAAAATAAAAGATAAAATTTTAATACAGGAATGACTGAATGCCATGAATGATCCTAACAAAAGATACAGATATTGTATTACAGTGCATAATTAAAAAATAGGTCTGTGACTTACTAATGATTCAATGTTGATATATATGGAAATTTTTGTCTTCTTCTTTATTTAGAATGATAAATATGGTTGTGTGAATTATGTAATGAAATGTAGTTTGAGCTATGTTTCCATTCTTGCAGGTGTTAACTTTACAAAGCTATCAGCATAACATTTCACCTCATAGTTATACCTAATCTGTTCTTGTTCAGTCTATGATTTACTTTGTTTAGTCATGTAACCTTATTCTTTGTACTCACCTTGGTTGTGTAGGCTTTCTGCCCATGCTTAAACTTGGATTTTTCATTCTGTTACCGGTTTACGTATGCTGGTTTTAAACATTTGAAGTTCTAATTGTATTCATAAATGTGCTAAATAACATTTTAATTTAACTATGTAGTTTTGCCCAAGATTTTAAAACGCAAGCAACCCGCCCGAAGGGGGGTTGGTTGCGTTTTAAAAACTTGACCAACCCCCCCGAAGGGGGTGTTGGTAAAATGTTTTAACCTCCCATTCGGGGGGGGGGTTAGTTTCTTACACAAGATTTTAAAACGCAACCAAACCCCCGAGGAGCTCCGAAAGGAGCGCTCTGCTCTAGTTTTAATAAAAATATGACAATAGGAAGATAAAGACAATTCCATTTTGCAACATAAAACCTTGACCTCTTCCTATTTTCAGTAAATTTGTGTTTCATTAGGGAAATTCCGTTGTCATAAGAGAATTATTTGATTATGCTGTTGGATACCCTGTTAAAACTCTATTAACGGTCTGAATGTAGGATTTGTGGAATGTTGTAATTTTGAGCGTTTATAAACCCTTTTAAGTACAGATATGTATTCTTAAATGCTCCATTCCATTTAAGAACAAATTTCATGTGCAAAATCAGATACACAACTTGTAATCGCGAATTTCATTGAGGTTAGTTTCGTTTAGTTGTACACGCGTGAGTAGGATGATGTTGCGGCAGGAGCAACTTTTCCAATGAATATCTTTATCTATGTTATTGTGTCTAGAGCCTTTTTATTTGCTCGGATGCAATAAATTTCAGCCGCGGGTGAAAATTGGAAATTTTTACCATGGTTAAAGTTTGCAATATTTAACCTTATAGCTAACCTATTTATTTATATGTATAGGTTAGGTTTTTTGAGGATACGTTTCTGTATTTGTGCTTTAAAATTACGTGTGTTCTTTTTGATGCAAGCATGTGAGGTCGGTGGATTTCTAGGTGTTTCATTAGTAAAACAATTGAAAAAAGTGATCTGTTTTAAGATTTATTTGAATATTGTATTTACTGATGTACTGTGAAGTTTTAATATCTCCACAGGAAGCCAATTACTTTAGAGTTAATGTTGTATGTAATTGGATGATTCTTTCAATTCTTCTTGAGTTGTTTGTGGTTTTACTATTCTGCACTCCATTTGGCATTCCTATAATTCAGGTAGTTAGACTCTGGATGCTCAAATTTGATCTTAAGGTAACCAATGTGGCGGACAGAGTGGCAGTGGGGCCGTTTGTATCCTGCTTCAGTTTCCTATATTGGCCATTATGCCTTTGATGCTCCTTATGTAATGCTACAGTGTTCTTTCTAATAATAATAATTTCCCTGATGTAGCTTGCTTTGTCTGGAGATGCTCTTATCACTCAGTTACATTGAACACAATGGTTATCTTGACAAGTGTGTCTGTGTTTAAGTGGATTTTGTAATTTTAGACACCATGACTTCTATTATTAAACTCCATGCCATCTCTGGTGCTATGGATGAATCTCCACCATGCTATATTCTACAAGTGGATGATTTTCGCATTCTGTTGGACTGTGGATGGGATGAAAATTTTGATCAAGAATTTATGAAGGAATTAAGAAGGTATGCTATATTATTGTAAGTAACGGTGTGGTGGTTTGGTTCAGAATGTTTGTTTCCTGCAAAGCAGGGACATTTGAAGTACATTTATTATTTATTTACACTTTATCTCACTGGATTTGTAAGATTTTCTTTTCCATTAGGGTTAGAAACTGTGTTTCAAACAAACCAGTAGGTAAAATTAATCTTACCGATTTTCAATAGGAGAGAGGAAGATAGAGTTTTAAACATTGTATATCCTTAATCGAAGAACATAAATTGAGAGTGTTGGAAATAAGGTTCTGTGGACAATATTTGGACATGAAATTTTGATGGGAAACCTGAAATGAAGAGATTACGTAGAATACCTAGGTGTATTGCGGCAGGATAAGCAAGTTCTGCTTCATACTTTTATTTATTCTGATTGTGTTCTGTGTTGAAGGTTCATCCATCAGATTGATGCGGTCTTATTGTCATATCCCGACCCATTGCATCTGGGGGCTCTACCTTATCTTGTTGGCAAGTGTGGTCTCAACTGCCCTATTTATGCAACCATTCCAGTATACAAGATGGGACAGATGTTCATGTATGACCTATATCAGGTTAGTTCTGATATCATGTTTGGTGCAAGTTGTGGTGTAAATTTTTGGAGTACCTTTACAGTGTGGTGACATGTACTTGAGCATCTTTAGTACACATCGATATGGTGTCATCTGCCATCAAATTTTCACAGAATTCATGTTGTATGTATTTTTGTTAGATCTGAGACAGATGTAACCTAATATCAATTGAATTAAGCATCAGCACAAAGTCGGATAGTTCCATGACCGTCTGTTCATCATATTTTCTTTGGGACTAATCATAATTGACCACATAAATCCTATTACTTCAAATTGTAAGATAATAACATTTTGATTTGTCTGCAGGTCTTTAGGTGAGGGTTCACTCAGACTTTAAATTAAATGGCATTTGAATTATCAGATGATTTATTAATGGCATAATGTACTTGTATTTGAAAGTTTTATGGAGGTGGCTGACTCATTAATCAGATAATAATTATAGAAAGTACTTTTTCCCATTCCAGTCAAGACATAATATGGAAGATTTTGATTTATTCACATTGGATGATGTTGATGCTGCATTTGACAAGATTGTCCAGTTGAAGTACAACCAGAGTGTCCCAATGAAAGGTATATTTCTGTACACAATTTCACATCTGTTCAAGCATAAATTACAATTTTTATAGAGCAGCTTATTTATGTATTTCTGCTTTTTCTGTATGTTGAGTCTATTGTGAATGAAACCATGGCTGTTTCAAATGTTTTAGTCTCCATTTTCTCATAGATTTTCAGTTTGGGAATCAATGTAACAATTTATCTTTATATGTTCAGTTTCTTTGCTGACATGTTTAATTTTTTCAGCATTTTAAACAATTTTTAAAGTTGTTAGAAGGCCAGATTATTTGTCATATACATTTTCCCCTCCTTCTTGAATTGTCTTAACACAAACACAAATCTGTGCTTTATGTACTATTTTATCACTAAATTTATAGCATTTTATGACACCCTGATGACTCATTTAAGTTATGATAAGTGTCTAGGACCTGGCTCATTATTTCAAGTTCATTAATAGCCTAATTCACATTTATTATTTGTAATCACTCTCTCAATAAAGACTTCTATTACATGTCCAGATAACATGCTGGCATGAAACTGAGTGCCTTGTAACGAGCTACAAAACAGAAGCTAACAATTCACTGATGGTCTCCATTTGCAGGTTTGGACCTTCTTGCTTTTCTCTGCTTAGCTTTACCAACCTTGGTCTCAGTATGGCCACACAACATTTTCCACAGAATCAGAATTATATTACCATGCAATAGTTTTTACTCATGTGGTCTTGTTTTCTTTTACGTTCTGCCTCACCAGTGCTGCCACTTGCTGGATCAGTTACTTTATTACCGTACTTCATACTAATAATAGATGGTTTGTTTATTGTCTGGCTTTCAGGGAAGGGGTATGGTCTGACGATCACTCCTCTCCCAGCTGGTCATATGATTGGTGGCACCATTTGGAAAATAGTTAAGGTTGGAGAAGAAGATATAGTGTATGCTGTTGATTTCAATCACAAAAAAGAACGTCATTTGAATGGATGTGAATTAGAGCGGCTGCAGAGGCCCTCTCTACTCATTACAGATGCCTTTAATGCCACTTACCAGCAAGCAAGAAGAAGGACACGCGATGAAAAACTGATGAGTGTGTTTTTGCTTTGTGGTTTCCATAATTGCTACTTAGAAAATGTTACTACATGTCAAGTTGAATGGTTTTTACCATTTGCATAGTTTCAGGATGTTTGTTCTTCTTTAAAAGTTAACCGTAAGTTTAATATCCTATGTCATAGATCATTATATACCACTAATACTAAAATTGCTGATTTTGAGACAAATTCTTCTTCTATGGCTCTCTGGTCCATATTCGGTCCATGGCCTCCTCAATTCTCCTCTTCCATTCGGTCCTATTGTTAGGTCCATTCTGTCTGAGGCTTTGATTGAGGTTTTGAAACGTCTTCCTTTTTACGGTGCAAGGTTGTTAGCCTTGCGACCAACCCCCAACCTGGAGGACCAGGGTACCTGTCTTAGTCTGACCTCTCCCCCTCGACCAACCCTACCAGTAGCTATGCTACCACCAGCAATAGCTCTTGGGATCACTGAGATACTCAAGCCCCACCACCACGACAAGGTGCAGGTACCATTAAGTGGGGTTGAGACAAATTGATATGATGGAATTTTAGCTTAAAAGAAAACTCAGCACAGAAAACGTTACATTAACCTACAACTTTGGGCATTATTTTTACATGAACTGTACCCCTCTTGAAATATTTTTCTTTGTATACTGAAATAATTATATTAACATTTGGTGTTACTTTGAATTGCAGCCAATATCCTGCAGACACTGAGGAACAATGGAAATGTTCTGGTCACAGTGGATACAGCAGGACGTGTTCTAGAGTTGGCACACATGTTGGATCAGCTTTGGCGTAACAAGGACTCGGGTCTGCTGGCATATTCACTGGCGCTGCTCAACAATGTGAGCTACAATGTTGTGGAGTTCGCAAAGTCTCAGGTATTCACTGATACAGTCTACAGTGAAATATGCATTTAATTTTTATTTGGGTTACACTGGATTTGAATTTTAATTATACCAAGATTTGGAATACTTTTCCACATTTGTAATGGAAAAGGAAAGACGAAAGGCTTATGACAATGGGTTTAGTATGGATTTTAGCTTTTGTTATATAGAAAAAGTGATTTAAACTCCTATATTATGGGCTGCTTGCCTGACTCAAACTCCGTGGTTGACAGTATCAGGGTGCTAGTGTGATGCACTGTACATATGACATGACACAAGAATGATAAAAGTTAATAGTTATTGTGCATACCTATTACAGATTGAGTGGATGAGTGACAAGCTAATGAGGACATTTGAAGGAGCGCGGAACAATCCATTCCAATTCAAGCACCTGCAGTTATGTCACAGTATGGCAGAGCTAAGCAGAGTTCCCAGTCCAAAGGTAAGTATTTTCTTCTTCTTTATTACACCGTCTCCTTTACAGGAGGTTGGCGACATATTATGAACAGGATCTTCCATCCTTTTCTCGGACTGGGACCTGTTCATATACGTTCTTGGCAGATGATCCAGAAGTGGTTTGCCATTGCCTTCTTCTGTGTGTGAATGGAGTAATTGTTGGGATGACACGGAGAAACCGGGGAAGCCCCCGGAGGAAAACTCCGTGTTGCCTAGACCACGGCCTTGCCCAACACAAGTTATAAATTCGGGCACTGCCGGGAATCGAACCCGGGACCCCAGGATTACAAGACCAGCGTGTAAGTGTTTTAGTACAGCATAAATTAGCTGTTTCATCTCATTTACAATGGACATTGTCCACAGACTGGTGTATATTTTATTCTGCACAATATTTCTTTGGATAAAATTCTGTATTCCCCTTCATATTGATACACTTTATTGGTTACACCATAATCTGGTTCACAAGAAATGTCACATCTGAAGTGGCAAGAATGTGGAACTATTTTTAAATTCCATCTAGAAGAGTTATTTTGTAGCAGGTTGGATATCCTCCTTTTAAAGTTTCCTTTTTTTGAATCTTTCTTTCTGTGTTAATATGAAGATAATCGTATCTTTGCAGGTGGTTCTGGCAAGTACACCAGACATGGAATGTGGTTTTTCGAGAGAATTATTCTTACAGTGGAGTTTGAATTCTCACAACAGTATTATCATTACGAACAGGTAACTTGACATTCAGATATATCTGTGAGGATCTGCTTGAAATACGTGGACATGACTATGTTTCGGACATTTCTTCAAACCAGATATCAGTGTCAGTATGATCTGTGTGTTCTGTCATGCACTTGTTTTAACATGCAGTGGTTATGGGAAGATAGAAGCGATGGCAGACTTTTGGTACATATCCATAGACATTGACTGTTGATGAAAATATTTCTCTTTGATTGAATGGAAGCAATGATATTGGAAGTACGAAATCATGTGTCACAGATTTTTTGTCATTACAAAATGTACATCAAAGGCAGAGCCATTGACTGCAGACTAATAACTCCAGAATAATAGTTTGTGATTGTAGTGGTAACAGTACTAATACGGTCATTATTGCTTTGTATATATGAAGTTCAAAGTTTGTTGCATTGCCATTTATTTTCACAGAAATTGTTGAATTAGGTTTGATTTTTTGTGCGTATTTCTTCATTTGCGAGTATAAGATGATTCCTCTTCTCCATTTTTCAAATAATGGAATATGCTATACAGTACATATTTCAAGGAAGTATTGTGTGCTTTTTTAGTAATTAATATTCAGTAATATTGTGTTGTAACATACAGGACATCACCAGGGACACTAGCTCGTGAGTTAATTGAAAATGGTGGGAAACTTGCCTTGAACCTTGAGATACGCCGGCGTGTAAGATTAGAGGGTGCGGAGCTAGAGGAATACCAGCGGAAAGAGAGAGAAAACAAAGAAAAGAACCAAGATAAGAAGTGAGTACCAATAGTGAATTATAATTATATTTATTATTGGTTTGTATCAGAATAGAGCTTTTCTCTAACTTTGAACAAGGACACATTCACAGTTATATGTATCATTTTCTTGTTTTTTAACGCTCACTCGTACCATATATTATATGAAAGCACATAATCTGAGCAATTAATAGAGAACTGTAAAATAATTAAGTGGGCAATATAATGTGATTCTGTCATCTGTATGCAGGTGAAATACTTTCCATATTAATAATTGTCTCGTTTACAGTGAAGACGTAGACATGAGTGATGAATCAGAGGATGAAATGGACTCCCTGAGTGCAGTAGCTAAGGGCAAGCATGACCTTCTTGTTAAAACAGAAACCAAGGTGCAGACTGGCTTCTTTAAAAGCAACAAGAAACAGTATCCCATGTTTCCATTTTTCGAAGAGAAAGTGAAGTTTGATGAGTATGGAGAAATTATAAGGTAAGAGTACCGCTTGCATAAGTACCTTGGAAATGCGTGGATCGTAATAGTTTGGTTCATGTTCTGACCGCTTGCCCGCAAGGAAGGAGTCCCACATGCGTACTGCAAAGAAAGATGGATGGGCCTCACGATCAGTCTGGACATGATGGAAAAGAGAATACAGTGAAACCTCGATGCATCGTTTTCGGCGGGGGTGGGAAATAAAAACGATAGATGCGGGAAAACGATAGATGCGGGAAAGCATTAAAAATTTAAAAAAAAAACAATGTTTCTCTTTCAAAGTTACTTCTTTTTACCAAAAAAGTCTTTAATGGACAACTGGTTTGTCGAAACTTTACGTTTTAGACCAAACAGAGTACTTTCCACGTTCAAAATGTTTTCCTCGTCACGTTCGCTAATATTATGGGCATAAAAGAACGACTTCACTTTTGCCAATGCAGCGTGTGCTTCGGCAAAACTCGGCACAGCTTCGGGCTCGCATTCGTCGTCTTCCTCACCGCTCCCACCCCCTTCGCGATCGTCACACAACTTATCAATCGTGTCGACTCCGCATGTAGCAAGCTCGCTGTCTACTGCCGCGTAGTCACCAAATTTAACCACGTCTTTCACGGCGCCAAATCTATTCCAGTCTTCGTGAAAGCCATCATGCTCATCCACACTGACGTTAGAGTCTGCTTCTGTGCGAAGTTCACACCCGTAGCCACCTTTGTGAAAACAATTCAGAACAGTTGGTTGGGAGACATGCCGCCAAGCTGCCACTGTGAAATGAATTGCTTGTAGCACGTCAATTTTCATGTTGACATCCTTCCCAGCATCCATTGCACATACAGCTGTTTGCACAAGGCGCTTTCTATACAACTGCTTGAAAGATTTTATGATGCCCAAATCAAGCGGTTGCAAGACGCTCGTGCAATTTGCTGGATACTGCACGACTTTCACATTTCGTAGAAATGTCGTGTCCTTCGGATGAGCGGCACAATTATCAACAAACAGCAAAATCTTTCTGCCTTGTGCGCCCATGGAGGCATCCAGAGAACTTAAAAACGCCGTAAAGATGTCTGTTGTCATCCAAGCCTTTTTGTTGGCGTGATATTTCACCGGAAGTTTTTTCATGTTTTTGAAACAACGCGGTTTTCGTGATTTTCCAACTACAATCGGAACCCGTTTGTCACTACCGTCACTGTTAACACACAGAAGAACAGTAATTCGGTGTTTTGCACGTATTCCCCCGTGGCAAGATTCACCTTTCAATGCCAGAGTCCTATCCGGGAGGGCGTTGTAGAAAAGTCCGGTCTCATCCGCATTATAAATGTCCCGCGGCTCATATCCCTCCAGCAGTGTTGGCAGTCTCTCGAGCCACAGCTCCGTTATTTCCACATCCACAGCAGCACTTTCGCCGGCTAACTTCTTGTAGACCATACCATGTCGTTCTTTAAACCTACTAATCCAGCCATTCGACGCTGCAAAATTTTCAATATTCAGTCTTGCGGCTATCGTCTTGGCTTTTTCCCGCAAGATGTTGCCATCAACAGGAATTCCTGAGGCCCGCGATTGCTGGTACCAAGTGAAGAGGACACTTTCTAGCTCACTGAAAGTTGATTTTCTTCCGGATTTCCTTTTTTTGCATGAATTACCGCACTTGTCAGTTTGTTTTCGGATTTCTTTCTTCTTTGCAACTATTGAATTTAAAGTAGATGGTGCTAATCCAAGGCGTTTAGCAATGTCGATTCTTTTTTCAAATGGATTCTTCTCCACTTCTTCTATGATTTTTAATCTTTCTTGAAGAGTTCTGACTTGCTTTAGTGGGCGAGACATGGTACAGGAATAATAACAAAATAATTAACAGGAGTAAGAGGAATAACAAAATATTTACGGGAACAACAACAAAAGTATAGACTGGAACAATAACAGGAAGAATGGAAGTACTGTTACTGCCGAACACGACGAAACGTAGCCGTAGAAGACACTGAACCACTGGAAACGAGATGAACCAGAAGAATGAAAAGTGCCGCCAGCCTTTCCTTTGTACTTGTAATAAAAGCATTTGTGAAGAAATTCACAGTGCACATGCCATTTGGCATCGCTGGAACGAAATATGAGTGCACCCTAATTAAAATCGTAAAATTTCTGACAATGAGCACCGCCATTCACTCCAACTATCACCCCTGCACCGCTGACCCCTCATTCCAAAAGGATCTGTGCTGGTTGGGCGACATAACAGGTTACCGCTACTGCGTATTCCAAAAACATTGTGCGTCTTTCGGTATTAATTTATCTCAAAACCCAGCATTTTAATTTCTCAGAAACGATCATTGCGGGAAAATTGTTGGCCGGGACTAAGATTTTTGAACGATCGATGCGATAAAACGATAGTTCGAGGAACGATAGAAGCGGGAAAATGTAACATTATTTTATATGGGATGTATTCGGGACCGAACAAAACGGACGATGCATCCGGGAAAACGATAGTTCCGGGAACGATGGATAGAGGTTTCACTGTAGTTACTGCTTGAAATCAGACCAGTTGTCATTCTCATGACAACTATGTTGGCTCATTCATGTTTTTGAAGTGACAGGTAAAAGATTTTTTTGTTCGTTATCAAGACCAAAACGAAGATCGTTTGTCACATGTTACACAAAAAGGGTTAAAGGGATTCTGTAATTTTAATTGGCAGTTGTACTTGTTTTTGTGATATAATAATAACAAGAACAATAACAGCAGTAACTAATGAGAGAATTGATCACTTAGGATATTATTGAAATGGATTTAACTAGTTCATGACCGTGTGTTGTATAAAGTTTGTTATAGTGTTGTGATATTTCCAGGCCAGAAGATTATAAAATGGTAGATTCAAACCCTGAAACTGAAGACAACAAAGAAAATGTTGATTTAAAAGAGGAAGAAGTAACCAGTAAGTTCTCAAAATATTCCATGGAATTATTTAATTGTATATGTTTACTTTATTTTGCAAGCTTTTTTACTTATTATTCTAAGGAACTGTTTTCTGAAATAATTCATAAGCAGGACTTGAGAAAGTCTGCATACAAATTACATTGCTGAGTTTCCTTTTTCAGAAATTTTATATCCATATTTGTTCTAAATACCACTATCTATCCACTTTCATAAAATTACAACCTCAAAATAATATGACATATTATTCAATCAGGTAAAATACACTATAGATCAGTTAGTCATGTCTCTGGAAGAAAAGAATGTTAAGTATTTTAAAGAGACTAAAAATGTTATACATTTATGGATAAATCAAGTACTATGTTCCATTACAGACTGTTTTCTTGAGTCCTTATATAAAGATTTTGTTCGGAAGTTTTGGGAAAGAATTTTAGCTGTACTTGATGTAGTGTGTGACACCAGAAACATTGTAATCAGAACTTTTAACTTGAGAAACACATTTTAATAAAACAAAATATCAGACAACTTTACTCTTCCCCATCTTCTGACATTAGAGTTATTTTGTGTTTTTAACTTATTCAGTTCAAAATAAGGACAGATTAGAATGAAATATTTTTTCCAGCAATTGACATCATGGAAGTACCAACAAAATGCATCTCAGTGATGAAGACTGTGCGTGTAATGGCTCAAGTCCAGTATATTGACTTTGAGGGTCGTTCAGATGGTGAATCATTGCAGAAGATCTTGGGACAGTTGCGCCCTCGAAGACTGATTCTTGTGAGAGGCACGCCAGAGAGCACGCACGCTATGTTGAACCTTTGCCGCCAATGGAGTGGTGCTCGTGTGTTTGCTCCATCTCGCGGTGAAATCGTGGATGCAACCACTGAGACGCACATCTATCAGGTAGAGAGTCCACCCATTGTGTCTTGTTCATGAATATAAACGAGTTCAAAGAATTTTAAAAATACGTATTCTGATGAGAGGGCTCTGCGTCTCGGTAAAATACGCAGTTTTCTTTGTAGAAATATTTCTGTAGAAAATAACACAACAGCATGTTGGATATGCAACTACTGCATTCTTCTGTTGTTACAGCTAATGAACCATTGGAGCTAGGCATGTAAAATTTTGTATGAAGCATTTTTTTTAAATGTGGTGATGTTCTTTCAGATTAAATTGGACAAATTTTATATAGAATCTGTAGTAGTGGAATTTATGCTCAGAAATAATCACTAAATTGTGTAACTATTAATTTATAGTTTCTCATACTCATTTAAATGAAGCATGTGCAGAGAAGTAGGTGTCATAAGTTATTCTTGTGATTGTTATTTTTTTAAAAAAACAGGAAAATTCATGTGTTCTGTATAAGTTTAGTTAACAGAAGTTGTCAGTCATTTCAGATCAACTCTTGTTAATGACCACTTTCATGCTTCCTTGACTGTCCATGTGTACTTTCATTCTGACGTGCTGATATTCCGACAGGTGAGACTGACTGATGCACTTGTTTCTGCACTTGAACTGAAGAAAGGTAAAGAGGCTGAACTGGCATGGCTTGATGCTCAGATTATGGTACGAGACATGTCAAAGGATGCCAAGCCAGTCATCATGGGTGTAGATGATGATGGGAAAGACGAAGAAGGTATGTGTGAATGATCCTCTGAATGTAAGATTTGAGGTTTTTACAGCGGTGAGTATGAAGATTTCCATCTTCTGGGTATGACAGTATGACCTCTGAAACGTTGGTTAACATCGACCAGACTACACAGCGCAACAACCCAGAAGACAGAAATCTACATATTTTTAATCGCCCTGATGACAGAGGCAGTATGACCTCTGAAACGTTGGTTAACATCGACCAGACTATACAGCGCAACAACCCAGAAGATGGAAATCTTGATCCTCTGAATGTTCTGTGATGATGGATGGTTGATTCATTTATTACAGGTCTTGTTATTAAAGTCTTTATTTTACAAAATTGCCATGAACTCTGTCATGTGCTAGTCGAAATAATGTACAAATTCACATACTTCTTTTCTTCAGATTTGATTCTATCCTTCCTTCAAAAAGAGGTTTGATAAACATTTTATGTTTTTGGTCCACGAACTGTTTTCCTGCATCTCTTTTCTTGTTCACAGATATGTTATAAAATATTCTTCATATGTCTGCTCTGCTTATGTCACACAGACTTTGTATTTTTGAGGTGGTGATGTGATAATATATTGCAATGTTAATAAGATAAGAATGAACAGCTCTTGACTACTGCAGTATTATCTTTGAGCAGTGCAACTGAATTTTTTACCATAGAAATGGTTATTATTTAAATTATCCAGTAGATCTGTAACAGATCAAAATTATAGCAGATATGTTAATATTAAGTACTGATAAAGTATAGTTATGTTCATGCCAATAAAAGTATTGTGTGTAGTGTCATTGTTCCTCTGGGAACCTTTTCCTCTTATCTATAATGCCTGTGTAATCCAAGTGGTCTGTTTTTATGTTGAGTTTCCTACAAAAATTTTACATGCATTTTTTTGGTTCCCCATATATACTACATACCACACTGATATCCCTCATGACTTAATAATAATAAATATGTTTCTCTTCCAGATAAAATGGAGATAGATAAGATTTACACACTGGAGCCATTACCATTGAATCAAGTAAGTAGAGTTGCAGCATTTTAATTTGAGACCTTAGAAAGTAAAGCTGTCTTGCTACATGCCGTGGAGCCACACAAGGGCACTACAAATTGTTTTCACTGTAGGAAACATTAGAAATTTGTGTTGGACTGTGATAGAATATGTGGAAATACAACAAAAACTTTGACATTCTGCCATTGTAGGTTGCTGGTCACCAGACTGCCTTTATAAATGAACTGAAACTGTCTGATTTCAAGCAAGTTCTTAACAAGAATAACATTCCTTCAGAATTCTCAGGAGGTGTTCTGTGGTGTTGTAATGGAACTGTTGCTGTTCGGCGGGTAAGTTTGTAAAACCTATTTTTCTCTCCGGAGTGTAGTGGTAATACTTTTGACTTGTATTTGACAGTTACCAGATTCAAATCTTGACAGGTTACTAATATCCTGACATATTTTTTCTGAGTTTCTCCAGGCAAGTGTTGTACTAGTACTTTCAGATTGACGATGATCACTTCCTCTCCTATTTTCTATTTATGATCGTCCAATCGTAATAGCCAAAGAATCACCTTTCTTGGACACCAGATTTTTTGGGGTGGTGGGAAGGACCCACCTTGTGTCAGGATCCTCAGTGCCAAGGATCAGAATGTGTGAAACTTTACCTCCATGTCCCTTATGCGCCTTCATAACGTGATTCTTAGGCACAGGCACAAATTACCTGAGTTTATTGTTGCACCTTGTATTAATGTGACTTAAGTTATTTTTGTACAGTATGTTCCAAAAATGGAAACCAGGTTTCCTCTGGTCATGTAGGAAAAATACAAGAGACAGACGTGGATCTGAGCATGAGGCGTTCTTCAGTCGAGCGCGAAGAAAACATATTAATTGAGACTGTGGTGTGATGATTGTATTTACTGTATTTTGTCAGTATGAAACTTGATTGGAATGATTTGAATCTTTTATAGCATGAAGCTGGAAGAGTCATCCTTGAGGGCTGCTTATCTGACGATTATTATCGAGTTCGAGAGTTGTTGTATGAACAGTATGCCATTGTTTGAATGTGCACTGGTCCCAGTAGCTTCATAAAAATATGGTAGCCATTGTGCACTATGTTGAAAGTAAAATGACAACTCGGATTCATGATCACATCCGAACATGGGATACTATCGTAAAGAGAGTCAAGCTTCAGATATTTTGATTACAGAAGGAATGTTTATATTGAAAGAAATTAAAAATTTGAGGCATTTGTAGTGTGTAACAATTGGAAGAAGAGAAGAATGGAGACTGATAAAAGCTGATGTTACAGGCATCTAATTTTTCATGATGAGCCTTTGTTTGTGCTTTGAGGAAAGTTGTTAGAAACTGGAAACTGTGTTTGCTCAAGGTGGAGTATTTTCTTTCTGTGAAAGAAGGATCTTTGCATTCCATTGCACAAGAATATTGTAATATGGTAAATATAGAGCATTATTTGTTTATACCTTCTGCTATTTTCAATGCCTTTTTCCTTGTAACAAATCCTTCAGTATTTTTACCGTGTTCATGTGTCTGTTCCCCGATTCCTCTACAGATGTCTGTGTTATAAACATTACTTAACAAATTTTTGTGGAGCTTAATATGGAAATCATACCACAGGAGAGACCACAACAATAATACCAACATGATAGTTATGTGAACTTGTCGGGAGATTGACACTAGTGCTGTTCATTGTATACGACCATCAGCATTCAATATAGGGCCTGGAATTTTGATGGTCAACATCTGGAAGTACTGTGAAGAAGTATTTAGTGATTACGTGGCACAAGTACGCTGAAAGGCAGGTTCAGGATGTGGATGTTATTTTGACAAATATATTGAAGGCATCATGCCAGATAAGTGTATCAACAAAATTGCTGATTTACAGGAGACTAAATTCTTATGCCTGTTTGGTTTGACAGATATACAGTAGTGTTTTTGTTCATTATGTGACTCTTTGTATCTGGCATGATGTACATCCCATTACTTTTATGTCATTAGACATATCTCGATATAGATAAGTGCCAGATTCTGAACATTGGGTCCAAGTGGTTAGCACTCTGGCTTTATATTCCAGAGGTACAGCATTAAAATCTTGGCCTGGTGACCAGTTATCCTGAGGTTTTTGTAGTTTTCCTCAATCCCTTTCAGGTGATTGACAGGATAGTATTTTAAATTAGATCATGACTGCTTCCTTGTATATTCCTTTCCAAATCATATCATTTGATGCCATATAGTTTGAGTTACTGACAGCATAACTAAGTAAACCATAAATACATAAAAAGTGCCAGACAGCAGAAGGTAAATGGCAACTCAGAATTATCAGTCTCAGTGGTATTGTACAGGAGGTACACAGGGCATTGAACCAGTGTGAGAATTATTTTAAGATGAATAAGGAATTATCAGTCTCAGTGGTATTGTACAAGGAGGTACCCAGGGCATTGAACCAGGGTGAGAATTATTTTAAGATGAATAATTGTCAGTTTGATGCAACTGTAAGTAGTAGGTTAGAGCAAGTCCTGAAGGTGATATTGTGGCAAGGTCCATAAGTATGCAGACAATAAAGAGTAATGTTCATAAAGGTAAGTAGAAGGCGACATTCAAGACCTACAGTGGATGTTCCAATTTGTCTCATTAGTACAGAATTTGTTCAGTGGATATGATGGCACATATATTCCCTAGAAAATTAGTAGTTTAAGAAAATGGTAGTGATGTTGCACAGATTAATCAACCTGATAAGAATTCTACATTATTTTGTTGAAGAAGGAAGCTAGTTGCTTAAATACAACTAGAATTTACACTATTTCTAGAAAATAATTTGAATATAATTTTTGAATTAAAGAGGCAGATATAATCAGTACTGGTTGCCTAACTCATTTTTCTGTAAGTGTTGCCTGTATTATAACCGCGACAGTTTTCCAATGACGTTATGTTTCATTTATATGTTAGTTTTGCGTTTGGTCGGGCAGTATGCCACTGTTCTTCAGTGTCATTCGTAAATGTTAAATTTCATAATAAGCCGTATGTGCTTGATAACGCGTATGTGATCACTCAGTACCCTTTTATTTCCATCATAATTTTAACAGGACGGACACGGAACACAAAGTTATGGAATGAAATTTCTACCACCATTACCATCATACAAATATTAATTAGTGAAACTTGTTTGGTGAGACACTGAACGTGCAAACGAAACTAACCTAACTTAAACAGTGATGCTGATGGGCGTAACCATTTTTAGATAATTTGATGTACGATTCAGTGAGATTATGCAGGATGGTTCGTGTGATTGCTTTAAAACTGTAATGAGTCAGTGATCTCGATATGTATTTAGGTCATAATGTCCACTGTGCCACTGAGGAGTCATGAATCTATCAGAAACTAGGTGTCCTATCTGATTTATATACAGTAATGGCACCGCCGAAAAGCGATAATTGGATACGAAGATTTATCGTTTCAGATCCAAGAAGGCATAAAAAAGGATTTACAGTCTACAAGGTTACGTCTGTTGTAAGTAGGGCTTCATTCTGTTAATGCTATAAAATTTATGCTATATATCAAAAAATTATCTGTGTGCTGCTAAAACAATTAAAATGTAACTGTGGTGATCACAAGATATAACCTATATTCATTTTGTATTGTATTTACAAGCCAGATATTTTGTCAGGCACTGACATTTTAACCCGGGATTAAATACAATTAATTCTAAATGCGTAAACAATGAAAATGGTCTATTTGAGGGGAGTTCTTTAGTTTGGGGCCATATAGGAGCCAGCAGAGCAAAGTTAGAATTTGCATATAGGTTATGTAGAAGAGACACTTGGCAAACCCCTTTGTTGATGAATTGAGTGCATAAAGTTTATGTACTTGAAATAGTGTCACCATGAAACATTTTGTTTTTCAGATAAATTTTTGGGTAGGATTTGGTTTAGTGTATTATTTGTGTAACAACATAGTTTATAAAGAAACATGTAGAAGCTTTAATGTAGGAGGTAGTAGTGTAGTAACTTTTATTTTCTGCGTAAAGTAATGTATTTCATTACCTACTTACTTCATAGAGCAAAGTCCTTCCTTAGAGTCCAGAAGCCACTCAAGAAGTTCCCTGTACGAAAAAAATATTTTGTGTACATTATAGGTATTTCCTAGAGGATCACCTGAGGCAGTAACAAAAGTAGTAGTCTGGAAGAGGTATAATGATTTCAAGAAATTGCATCAAGAACTCAAAACAAAACATCAGAAACTGTATCTACAGGATAAGTTTCCAGTGTTTGCAAAAGCTAAGTTTTTTGGAAGGTAAGATATTGAACAATTTAGATTTAATTGGCATATAATTAGAACTACAAAGTATACCACAATAGAAATGCTTAATGAAATATGTAAGGATTGACAATGTTATTCTTTTGGGTTCTGATGCCATTTTCAGGGCTGAAGCCTGGAAGCTAGCAAAGTGGTGAACCTAGATTTCCTCTCCTCCTGTCCCCGCTGGGAATGTAAACCCAATCATCAAACCTGAAACTAGTCACATTACTGACTGACAAATCACAGCTGTTAATATGGATCAGTAATATTTTTGATTTCAGGGACAGAATTAATTGTACATGCTGAAAACATCTTTTTCCATATATCAGTTAGACGAAATCCTTAAAATCTATACTGTTTTAGTCCTCAACAAGCAGCAAGTGACTTGTATGTTCCATTTTTATGTATTCCATTCTGTTCATACAAAGCATTTTGTTTGTTAATTAGTTTCACATTATGTTTATCTTATCACATTTTTTTTTGTTTCCTAGGTTTGAAGATGATGTAATTGAGGAACGGCAAAAATGTGCTGTTTCCTTATTAGAATTTATTGGAGCTCATCCACCTCTCTTCACTAGCAACATATTTGTAAAATTTTTTGAGGTAACTACATTATTATTAGTATAATATAATATATATTGTTATTATTATGCCATTCATTTCTTTATTATGTAATACTGCAGATTGTGTACTGTTAAAAATGGCTGAGCTGAGAGACAAGCCATTAAGCATTAAGAAACACTAAAAACATTAATTTATAGCTTACCCTCATGATTTCAGATTGTAGTCTTGAGTTGCACTGTGTAGTCTTTTGGTATATACCAACATTTTGAAAGGAAAATGCTCCCTCCATATTTAGTGTTTAACCTTATGAAGTGTTTGTACAAATTTCAACAACCCAGAAGACTGCATTCAGATGTCAAACTGCCGTAAATGCCTCAGATCTTACCTCGATGACACCATTTTTGTGGTAGTGGCAGGAAAGCAAGAAGTATATTAAAAGAAATTGAATGCCACCCAGATGTTTCTCATGAGAAAACAGTACTTACATCAGAGTTTAATAATTTTTTATATTGAAAAGATGAGACAGAATATTCTGGCCATGTATCAAGTGCTCCCTTCTGTTGTAGTCAGGCTACTCTGTTGAGGATGAGGGCAGTGACAAGGCACCTTCCACCCAGGATCTAACCATTACTGATCCTGGAGGTGGTGAAATTCTTGAACCCACTCTAGTACATCCTGAACCACTAAGCATCAAGAACAGCAGAACTCATACTGAAGGTCAAGATGGCAACATGAGACCAAAGTATATACTAATATGTTTGTTATTTTTTCTAATAATTATCAACTGCCTGTAACATACATTATTTGCTTATTTTTATATTATTTAACATTCTCAATGTTATTAAAAATTTAAAACATGTTGGAGTGTCTTGATTGTGCCATAACATTGATTGTCATACTGCGAGAAAAAAATTATGAATGTCAGTTTATCTCTGCATGACAGTCATTCATCCACCATCTTGTTTGATTCCATATCTAATAGTTTAAGATAAAATACATGTACTTATGTTTTGGTGTAATGTCCATAACATATTAGGTGATTGATTGATTGATTCTCAGGTTATTTAACGATGCTTTTTCAGCAGCAGAGTTTATATAGTGTCAGATGAGATAGGAAGATGATCAGGAATCTTGAGTAGGTGACTTATTTCAAGATAGCGTCCTAACATTTGCTTGGTGAGTTTGTGGAAAACCATAAACCTTAGGGCGATAGCCGGTAACTGATGTGAGACTTCTACTGAATACTTTGTGAATATAAGTGTAGAAATTGACCACTGCTTGAGTGTGCTTGGTTGTAATATTTACATTTTGTCATTTCAGCTAATTTTCTTTGACGCATTTTAAAGGTTGTTGTTGCTTTGGAGTGTTTGTGTGATACACGTGTAACGGTGTTATCCGTTGTATTATGTACGTTTAAACTTGTGTTAGTTTTGGACTGGAAGCAGAAGGTCCCATGCTGAAACTAGGAGGCACGTGGCAGTTTCCTCAACAGGCCGACTCCATCTCCTTGAGTTCGCACAGTTCAGATGAAGGCACCAATTTTACTGATACAGATTCCACCTCTGCTTTGAGTTGCAGCAGGATAAGCTCACCACTACAGGTTTGTCATGTTTTTAGGAGCTTTATGAACACTGTGGAATACCTATTAAAATCACTGCGTCTGCCTGTCCATCTATACGCATGTAACAACTTGAGAATGGCTGAATTGATTTCTTTACAAAGTTAAGTTTTTAAACTTACACGTGTGTCAGAAATGAATTGGGCCTAATAATCAATAAAATATGTTCAAAATACTTTATAGAACTATAGAAAAGAAGAAAGACAGGAAGGAAGAAAGAGGAATGTATGTATGAAGATTTCTGTCTTCTGGGTTGTTGCGCTGTGTAGTCTGGTCGATGTTAACCAACGTTTCAGAGGTCATACTGCCTCCGTCAT